TGATCAGACATTAAATACTGTACCTTTTTATGATGGATATTCTATTTTGTTTAACTGGCATGAAAGTGGAAAAAATATTTTAAAAATCAGCTCTGCCTTTTGATCATCATCCAAGGTCTTATCAGTGTAATTTGAAAAAATCCTTACAATTTAACGTGCAGGGCTCCATCAAAAACTAAAAAAGTAAAATAAAAAATCCACAGATTTTCAGTATCAGATTTTTAGTTTTATTGACCTAAAAATGTTGCAGCTGTATTCTCTTTTTGTTTGGTGAGCTGAAACAAATCAACCTTATTGATAAAATTCAAGTGAGAATGTTTTGTTCTCCTAGTAAAAAGATACAGTTTCAGCTTTTATTTGAAAACAGTTTTTTTAATTCTCTTCACTGAGCTGTCCTTCGCAAAAAAGACCCCAAATAATTCCAAGATTAATCTTTTAATTCATGTTTTTTCAGTGTTTTCTTACACTTCTGATCAAAGCCCACAGAATAGATACAAGAGGCAGACAAACATGTAATTGCTTGTGCCTGTCTTAGGAAAAGATCTAATGGACCTTTAGGTGGATTGTCCATAATTAGTCAGTTTGACAGATACTGAGTCAAAGTTTGGTGTGGTTGAAAGTGAGAGTCATTTACAACACATACTCCAAGTGTAAATCATTGTGATTGATATTTGCTCAAAACTTTATAGCATTACCTGTTGGTGTGAACCCTGTTCTCTGATGGCAAAATATCTTGTGAGCCACTGGATGGCTTTCAATGAAACTTTCAAGAAATAACCTTTTTAACATACTGTACCTCTAACTTTTGGATTTAAACATGGTCACCACAGCTAATCCATTTTAGCAAACAAAAAAAAAAGGCTAAAACTCAGTCAGTGTTACAGATACTGTGGTAGTAGCGTATTCTTTCAGAACAAATACTCTGACTGGGGCATTTCACAACCTTACATATTTTTAATATTTGACCAAAAAGTCTCTAACTTCATCAGTTCTCAGCACAAGTTAATCTAGTTATCATCATAGACTTAAATATGCTGTATATATAGCTCCGCCCATACTGTCCACTGGTAGCTCTGTGACAGCATGGAGGAGCAGAAACGGAGACCAAAAAGGGCAACAGCTTACAGACACCATAGAAACTCATAGATAAACAGCAAGCTGAACTGGATCTGTTTCACAAATTATCTGTCATGTTTTTACAATAAATTAATAACTATGTTAATTTCATTCAACAATCATGTAAAACAGCAGATTTATACCAGAAAAATATATAATTTATAAGTAACAATGATCTAAACCAGACCTGAATTCAGCCTGTAATTTAAACTTTAGCTTGTTGAAAAATGATGATTCAGCTAGTAATAGAGTATATTTATTATTTCTTCTTACTGTCATAAAAAATAAGAATATTTGTATTTACCAGTCACTTAGAAAATATTCTCTGGTTATAGGATGACACTTGTCTCTATTAGCTAACCAACTTCTTAACAGGTCAGGTTCCTCTAAAAGAAACCTAAAAATACTCACATTTATAATATTATTTTACACTGTGTAGGTCTAAATATTAATCAGAGGACAAATCATCTGTAATATTTAATAGTTTGTTAAATTGTAGCATGATTCAACAATGCTAAACTCTGTATAAATGCTCCACAAGCTAATATCTGCTAACCAGTTCAATAAATAACAGTGATTACATCGACTTTATAAGATTGTTCTGCTCAGATCACATTGAGCTAAATAAGATCAAATCTGCTTACATGTGTTGTAAAATGAGATGTTTTCCTGTTTATCTTCTGTTAATAAATCCATAACACAAACAGCTTTTCTGACATTATTTAAAACATTAGATAGATTATATAAGCTGTAAAATATTAATAATAATTTGGTTAATATTATTATTAATAGTTTTTATGATTTCTACATCGTCAGTCCTTTTTTCTGCTCTGTTGTCAACATGTACAGTAATGGGAAATCCAGACTTTTGACCGTTTTGCATTAGCTTTTAGCTTCACCAGCAGATCACACGGTCACGTGGTTTCGGCGCACTCCAGCTGTTCTATAGAACCTCCTTGGTTATCGCTTACACTTTTCTGCATGTATTCCTTTTGCACTTCTGTCTGCTTTTGTCAGCTGTTGATTGGTATTTCACACCATGTGAGGACATTTATCCTCACAATTTAACACAAAGACACTTGCTCTCTTAACAAAATGTAAAGTGAGTTTTTTTTTTCTTCACAGCATTTTGAAATCCTATTTGAACTCCAATCCTGAAGGAGCATTATCATTCTGTTTCTTATCTGGGGTGAAACCTCATTCCCGGCTTTGTGAATGGGAGGCTGCTGGGAAGACGGAAGACGTGCACGGTGGAAAAGGGCGCGGGGTTAGTGACTATAACCACTCCAGGCTTTCAGGCGAGAATCAGCTCGCTCCAGCTGCCGGAGTAATGAAGTGCTGGCAGCTGCCCTCGGTGCTGAAATCAACCTCCCATCTCTTTGAACGGGGAATAAAAAAGGAGCAGAGATACCAATGCTGCGATGCCAAACGGCACGCCTCATAACAAAAACCTCAGGTGGAACAAGTTCACAAGGACAGGCACATAATCAAATACAGGTCCTGTCCTGGGAAGTGTCTTCCATGTGACTCATAAAGGTGTTAGTAAAGTATTTCCATTGAGGCCTTGCATAGAAATGCACCTTGCCCACCAGAGACACATGATCAGTCTGTGTTGAAAAAATGGCGTAGTTTTGATCCAACCTTCAATAAAACATTGTGTAATCTCATGAAATACTATGTGACCTGTTAACAGTCCAGATTATATGTTGAGGGTGACTCTCAGCTACTACCACGCTGTGTTTTAGCTCACTTTCTGTAAAACTGACTGAGTTAGACAGTTTTGTGTTTACTAAATTGGCCTTGCGGTGGCAGCCATTTTGAATTTGGTAAACTCTTTCTGCACCCAAATTTAGGGGCTGCATCTTTCAAAGGACCAAGCCTACCTGGTCTATATGGGCCGGGACCTTTGTCAACAGCAAAGACCAGAAGAAAGTGGCTGTGATTTTGGATGGAACTGTCCTGTCGCCTAGAACTGAGAACTAAGGGACTCGCCAAACAGGCTTGTTATAATGATTTCTGAAAAGAATAATAAAAATTTTAAACATGCAAATGACAAAATGCTAACACAAATGCTTTAAACTTCCAATTTTTGTAACACCAAATTTTTATTTAAAGCTATACTCAACTTTTGCTTCATCCACCTCCAGTGCATCTTGGATTAGGGTGGGCTGAGATGGATAAAACAGACCCCTCTTTAAATCGGGGGAATAGGAGGACGCATTTGTGGACCACGATGGAAGAAGCCTTCGAATTTGGACAACCTTTGGTACATCGCTGTGACATAATCATCTTTCAAATTCAGCCTTCGAGGGATGCAGCCTCTGAATTTGGACACAGCCTCTGAAAATTAATCAGTTTTAAATGCATCCACAATCATCACTTCCTGAGAGCTTCATTACAATCCACCTAGTGGTTTATGAGGTATTTTGCTAACAGACAAATTGGATTGACCCTAAGGTTTAAAACAAAGATGTTGTGCCATATGTTGTGTTCAAAGTACGTTTTGGAGACCATGCTTATCTACTACCACACCAAACTTTAGCTAAATATCAATGAAATTGGTTGAGTTGTACCTTTTTGTTGGGTGTTTTTAACATTGGCTGTAGGGCTGCCACGATTAGTTGATTAGTCGATTAGTCGATTAGTCGATTAGTCGACGACTAATCAATTATTAAAATAATCGATGACTAATTTAATAATCGATTAATCGTTTTCTTTTTTTTTTTCTTTACTTTGTTTTTCTCTCCAAACTGCTTTGACACCTTCCACTGCCACATCTGCCTTTCTGTCCTTGACACATGCACAGTAGTGGTAACTGGGGTAGGCCGTGGACGTCACAAGACATTATACAGACAGGTTCTGGTATCATGGCTACCTGGCACCGGAGCTCAAAAGTGTGGGATCTTTTTAAGAAAATGAAAGAGAAACCTGTGCAATGCAATATCTGTAAGGCAGAACTTGCCTTCCACAGCAATTATTTTTAGTTAGCATATAGCTAAAATCTAATGATGGTTATATAATAGTAGCTGCATTCTGGCGCAATAAGCTGTATGTTTTATATTCAATTAACATATTATCTGATTAGTCGACTAATCGAAAAAATAATCGGTGATTAATCGATTATAAAAATAATCGTTTGTGGCAGCCCTATTTGGCTGCATCTCAATTCAGGAGTTGCAGCCCATATAGGGTGCATTTGTCGGTTGCTTACATCACTGCACTGCCCCATAAGCTAATCCATTAATTTTAATAATATTGAATTTTATGAAGTCATACCATGAAAAGACAAGTGAAGGCATGTAATAATCTCCCTGGTAATGGGGCAGAGCAAGGTCACACAAACATACCTAGCAGGTTTTGCAGTCTACACCAGTGGCTTGTGGACCACTTTATGTGGCCAAAATGGGCCGTGATCTACGTAGGCTACAACCCCTGAATTGAGGCACAGCCATTGTTGGATGTGGTGGCCATAGACACCAAAAGTTAAGTCATGGATATCATGTTTGTCGGTTGTTCTCCTGAGAGTTTCATTCAAATTTGTCCAGTGATTCATAGGATGTTTTGCTAACGGCACAGATAGATAAACACTTGCATGTGGACAAAAGCATTATCTCTCCCACTCTGGGTGATAATAAGGAGCAGAGGGTGTTGCCTGGTGTGTAATGTTGCAGAGATCTGTTCCATAGAGGTAAAATACCTACACAAGCTTTCTTTCTACCTGTCTGAGTCCTTCATCTGTTTTGCCTTGTTGCTTATCTCCCACATGCAGGGATATAAAAGAGACAAGAAGAAAGCAGCTCTCTTAATCTGTTCTCTGACCTGCAGAATGATTCCCGTCTGTATTTTATAGAAGATGGACTCCTCGGTGTGTGGATTTAAGGCACCTGCTCATGGGAGTCAGTGATCATCCCGGCCCACGAGGACGTGCGTCAACTGGACGGTGACAGATTATGAGCTGGACTTCATTCCTTCCCTCTCCCGCCTCTGAGCTTCTTCACTGTATTCCACAGCCTGCCACCCGTCCTCTTCAGCCCCGGAGAGAGATAAGTAATGTTTGCGTAGCAGCATATTTCATGCTCAGCTTCTCCCCCACCCCTACCCGCACCTGTTTCCTGACCTGCAGAGTCTAAAGGCGGTAGAAGCTGTCACATGACCCTGGCTGCACATGTTTTTCTTCGGTGCCTGAATACAAAACTTTTGGTTGACTATTTTAAAAAGGGGACCCGGAGGTCATTTCAAGGACCGTTTATCTCATAATCAATCGGTCAGGAACTGCAAATGAAACGCTTGTCTAAATTTGACACATTTACACAACATGCTTTTATTATGCACACTAAACTGCTGGGTTAAACCCAATTTGGAAACCAATTTGTATCTCATATTTCCAGCCCTATAATTAAAAAAGGGAATCCCCCAAGCTTCATACTGACGCCAAACATTATTGATCTTTTTACAGTTACTTATAAGCATAACACTCATTGTGGTGTTCTGTGCTCTGCAGTCATTTCAATATCTGGCATTTTTTAAGGCCAATTCAATATTACAAAGTAAAATACCAGTAAAACTAATTCAGAAATATTTTTGTATAATAAAGAAAACACATAGCAGGTGTAAAGAAGAGTTGAACACCAACCTTGACTATGGAAGTAGCTATGAATGTATTTGGTTGTTGTAGCAGCACAACCTAATTATAAAAAATAACCTGATGGATGATCTGAATAAACACAAGGGAGACCAAATGTGCCACGAAAGCCAAAAATGCTGAGGAATGAGTGAGAACTAAAGGGCTAAAAGGACTGAGTTTGATGAGTGGAGTGGCTGCAGCTGTGACTGCTGAAACAGAGGACACGTAGAAATGGGCGGCTGAACTGGGAAAGTACAGAGGGAGAAGAAGCAGGCTGCACAGGGGAACAAAAACTGAACACAAAGGGACAAAACAATGAATGAAAGAAACAGAAAAAAAAATAAAAGTCAAAAGAGACAACACAAAAACCAAACAACCAAAGAAAACTCACAGGCTGTGACAGAAGAAGATGTTTAGGTAGAAATATAAGAGTGAATCTGCGAAACACAAAAGAAAAGAGAGGGAACGAGTAACACAACTGTCAAGAATAATTATGGGGGATCAAGCAGGGAAGTGGAGCCCCATGAAGGCATTCAAGCATTTGTATTTTTTTAAATCAAAATTTCATTTAGACAGACAAGTATACTCACAACTTGACCTATTTTCAGTCATTTCAGCTCTTTCCATAAGTAATAAATGCACAACGTTTTATTGCTATTTTCTTATTTTTAATTTAGAAACCAAGAGGAAAATATTGGGCAGATTATGTTACTGTATAAGTTATTATTATAAGATGGGTAAAATTACAAATTATAACTTGAGTTGGTATTAGCTAGCTGGAGCTAACTGCTGTTAGCATCAGTTAGCAACTAATGTCATTTTAAGAAACCAAACTCACTTCCTAGTGCAAAAGTTATTAACAAAATCAAACAGGGGAAGCTAATTATCTTCTTACAAATGTTTTTTCCTACCATTTTACATTTGGATTATTACATCTTAGTTTTCCCACAGTCTCACCACAACTCACCTTGACACTCAGCTCTAGTTTTCGATATGAGTGCCGTTTTGGCGGGATCGTCAAAGCAGCTAAATCGAGTGCATGAAAAGAGGCCGTAAGGTCCAGACAGAATAGACTTGATCCTCTGGCTTAAAATGCTGGACCATGAAGAAATTGCACCATTCATAAGTCACCACGTCAAATTTTATGAATTAATATTTAGTTAAACCAACCCAGCTTTAACCCAGTGGTTGAGGTCTAAAAATAACCCATCAGTTTGTGTGTAATCTGCATTTGCTGTTTGAAATAAATAAACTTAAAATGTACCCATGGGACCACTTCCTGAGCGTTTTCGACATCGTCACCTGCATGTTCTGGCAGCAAGTTGAGGTCAACTATTAATCAAATTCATCAGCTTTGTTTTGCATAATGAGCTGCTGCAGAATTTGTCCTAAAAGTTCCAGGTCCCAGCTCCATTGGACTCAGACGTTCCTAGTTTTTGATGATGCCCCGAGTCTAAATTTGTCTCATCCCTATTTTATTATTTTCCCAAAAAGCATCAGATTCATGTGTGCAAAAATGGCAAAAAAAAAAGATGACATTTTGTGGTTACTCTGTTATTTTTCAAATTTATTCATATTTCTGCTTAATGGATGACATACTTGATGGAAGTATCTTAATAAAAAAAATGATGATTTTCTTTCTTTTCTCCACAGAAACAAAATGGGTTAAAAATGAAGAGACGGCTGTCTTATGTTTACTTCTACTGTATTTTGCTGGATTAAAAATTAGTTGCAAATCCAGCTTCTTTCAAAGACACAAAGTCAAAGAGGTAAACAGTTCAAAAGATGAACAGTCAAAATCCCAAAACAAGCTCCAACAAAGTTACATCTCTCACCTATTAGAAGCGCAAAATCCTCAAAGATCAAAAGTGTGATTTTTTTAAACAAAAGATGCTGCCTCCAACAACAGAGAAACGCTTCAAAATCAGATAAAATCACATCGAAAGGAGCCATGATGACAGCGGTGAGGAAGGAAAAAAAAGGTAGAAAATAAGCAAAAGCTGCGCCAGAAGAAGAAGAGAAAATGGGAGAAAAGAAGAGGGTCTAAAAGCACGTAGAGGCTCTTTTTTTTTTTTTTTTTTTCCCCCTCGGAGGATGTTGTTGCCGGAGCAGCAACGCTCAGCATCCAAGATCTGACTCCCTGCATGCAGGAAACATTTCTCCACGTCGGAACACCGAAACAAGAGAGGAGCAAGAAGGAGGTAAAAACCGCAGCTTAACAACATGTCAGAGTAATAATGTACTCACCGAGAGGGAGTAAAAAATGGTTCGGTTTTAAAAAGAAACGGTGAAGGGTCGGTTCCGAGCAGCCCCTGTGTTTCACCGAGACTCTCTCTGAGCTCCTGTCGAGCTGTGCGCGCGCGGCCGGGGGGCTCGGTCACGTGACGTGGGTCTGAATCAGAGTCCGAACTGATGGAGTCGTTTCTGCTTCGCTCAACGATTGTTGTTGGTATGTGAAAAACAAAAACATCAAATGAAAAACGTTTTTTCTCTTTGAAATTCAGAGTTCCTCATCGTTTTTTCTCCTTTTATGCTACTTCTACTTTTAGCTTTTGGCTACTCTGTATTAGCTTTTATTAGTGCCTGTTAGCTTCTAATATTTAGCTTCTTTTAGCTATAGTTTTGTATATTTTAGTTACGATAAGTTCAACATCTTTAACATCTGTTTTGTTACAGTTTTGCTATATTTATTTTAGCATTTGATTAGCTTATTTTAGCATAATCTTTTCAAAATTTAGGTATATTTGAGCTAATTTGTGTATGTGTTTTGCTAATTTTAGCAACAAGTATGTTTTGATGAGTTTAGCTTTAGCATCTGTTTGTTTACTTTACTTTCAATTTCTGTTTTGCAAATTCTAATCATAGCAATTGATTGGCTTTTTTAGCATACATTTTGTTAAATTTAAATTTTATTTTGCTAATTTAAATGTTAGTTTTGTTAACTTGTTTTGTTAATTTATCTTTAGCTTCTGTTGGCTAAATGCAGCTACTGCTTTGCTGAGTTTAGTTTTAGCGTCCGTTTTTCTCATTTCTGCCTTGCAAACTGTAGCTTAAATATTTAATGTGTTTGTTTTAGCATCTGTTTTGTCAAATTGAAGTGCTGTTTTGCTAATCTGAGCAACTGTTTTGATTTGTGTCAAGATGTTGACAGCAGATCAGTCAGCTCAGTGGAATGGAAATGTTCAGCCTACATTTGTCAATAAAATTACCAGTGAATGTTTAAAAACAAGCCAATTTACACAAAATAAGTTGCATTTAAAAGAAATTCCTCAGGATGGTCTGATGCTAAAGGCATAAGGGCAGTGATGTTTTTGCTTGTGTGTGTGTGTGTGTGTGTGTGTGTGTGTGTGTGTGTGTGTGTGTGTGTGTGTGT